CTTTCTAGATCAATTTAGTGCCACCTTTTCGGGAGTAACTCTTTTCTTCTTAGGCGATATTATTTTAACCATGTGCATGCGTATGTACATAATATCAAGCGAGTAAGTAATTTAAATAAATATTTTACTATTATTTTAACTGTTTCGGAACTGTGTCCGGAAAATGCGCTGAATAGGCTCATCTTTCGAATCTGTGTAGTAACAGAAATCTGGAGGTAATGTGATGAATCTGGTCAAGATGTCAATCGAGTCTTTATTATTTCCAAAGTTTAACAACTGCTTCGCAAACACAATTTTACTTTGGACTTGTTGCAAAAATACTCGCATGTAGGTTGTTAGTTGTCAATTGGAGCGTCTTTACTTGCCACTATAAATTTGATGATGTTAGGCATGCATTTAGTTTATCCGAAGCAGTTGATTGGGGAATAATAATTGAAATAATTATTATCTATTAATTTTATTACTTTTAATTAATTCCTATTGTTTTATTATTTTTTTATACAAAAGATTTGATTGTTTTAGCACTACAGACATGAATTATCGCATCGAAGCGTTATTCCATCTGATTGCTGGTCTAAATCAAATAGTTCTTTGCTATTCCATACCTGCCCAGGCGCTAATGGATCAGGTTAGTACTTACCATTGATCATATTAATTAATAAAAACAGTCAAAAGACTGATATTTTTTGTACACACTTATGACAAGTCGAAAGAAAATGTAAAAAAGTATTTTTGAAGTGTGTATATTTTAGGCAATTCCTAGCTGAGCGCTTTCGGCTTTACAAAGCCATCATCAGAGCTATGCTACAATAAAATGTTCTTATAAGTACTAATTGGTAAAGATTATAATTTTTTAACTTACGTCAATTTTTTAAATACCACTACAAAGGAGAGATCTCATTCTCTTATAAGGAAATGAGATCTCTCCTTTGTAGTGGTATTTAAAAAATTGACGTAAGTTAAAAAATTATAATCTTTACCAATTAGTACTTATAAGAACATTTTATTGTAGCATAGCTCTGATGATGGCTTTGTAAAGCCGAAAGCGCTCAGCTAAGAATTGCCTAAAATATACACACTTCAAAAATACTTTTTTACATTTTCTTTCGACTAATAAAAACAGGTTTATTAAACCAATTATTTCTCCTATTTCTTTGTCGATACCTTTCGACTTCTTTATATTCATAACTAAAATTCTATAGTCTGTTTGAACTGTGCCTGTATTGGTTTTATGGGTGAGGTCAATAAAATAAAACAAAGAATATATGAAGACTTAGTTTTCTAAAATTAAAGCTGATTTTTATACATTCTTATATGCTGAATCCAAGTCTAACTTTTGTTTTTTGCAATCTGCTTTTTATTATACAGAGTTGGGATAAACTTTGGAACCAAAAATATATTTGAAACGAAAACAGCAGTATTTTTATATATGTAATATATACTGCTTTTATAGTACAAGTACAAAGACACACACTCAGAACAGAAAGGTTTCTAAACAATCTAAAACATTTTCCATAACTTTACCTTCACCAAAATTACGGGATGAGCCCCAAATGCTGTTATTGACATTAAAGTCACCAACAAGAATGTACGGGAGGGGTTAATGTACCAACAAGAATGATGAAATATAAAATCGACTAATTGATAGTGTGGTCAGGAGTGAAGTATTAGTGGGAAATGGTAGGTAAGTTTAGTTGGACATCAAGCATGAACTGCTATTGCTTTTAAATCCGTGCTTAAAGGTAGAAGGGAGGAGTTTATATAAGTAGACACAAATATTGAGGTACCACCACTGATTCTTGTACAGTTTATAGGGATGCGATGATATCCCTTAAACTTTTTAAGTTTGCCTTGATGGTCGGTTATAAAATTTGTTTCCTGGAGATAAAAGATGTGACTTCCATTGTATCAGACTGAATTTTATCAGTTTGGAAAATGAATAAAAGAAAAGGGAAAAAAACTATTGAGAGGGAACGAAGGAGTTACTTGTATTTACATCGTCATTAAGCATTTGGTCAGTGAAATCTTTTTGATTGGGATGGAGCTTTAACTTAATTTTATTTAACACACGTAATATACGATTTTTTAAAGATGCCAAAGGACTTTTCGAGGAATGTAGTAAGTTCGGCAAGTTTTGTATAATTAGGTAATGAAAACTTAGGCCGAGGCATTTAGTTGGGAATTGAAGTAGGGGTTGAAGTGGGTGATAGGAGCTGAGGTGAGTCAAGGATACTATCAGTAGAACGTAGCCTTTTTTCGCCATTTTTTTATTTGTAAGCTTGGGATTGGAGAAAGGTGTAGATGTTTCTCCGGAAAAACATACTAGAAATATTTAGAATGATTTTACTAATAGTTAAAATTGCATGAGGTGGTTGTTCCATATCTAGAGTTAATTGAAATCGGAGGGAGGTCATAGTATGTAATATGTCCAACTTGTTAGCAAAGAAAGCATTCTTTATTATCGGTTGAAATAAATATTCTGTAAAGTAAGTTTTCAAAAGAAATGGTGGTCGTTATTTTCAGAGAAAATCATCACTGCTGGGTTAAATGTCAGTTACGCGGCAGAAACTCAATATATGACCGTATTTAACATTAGGTGATCCACATGAAGAGGTAATTTTAGATTCTGGAGTGTTTTTTTAATTATCGGATGAAGAATGGGTGAAAGTCTGCGTATTGGCAGGCCCGTTCCTAGGGTAGTGAGCGCCTGCGTGCAGGATTTTTTGTGCGCCCCCATAATATGTTTTTAAGATACCTATATCATAACATGTTCTTGTGATATGATTGAAGATATGATATGAATGTAAAAAGAAAAATAAAAAGAATCGTGTTTGAAAAAAGGTTTTATTTTCAAAATTAAATGAAGAAAAAAGGTCATTTTAAAACAATATTATTATGTAAGTTAACAGTAAGAAAGAAAACACCCAATTCGCAAATTAATAAGGCATTCTGGAATATAACATGAAACAATAACGGAAAGGAGACACTCTCAATGCACAAAACTTTTGTTTGCCAAGTGAAAAATAAAACAAATATTGGAATTACAACATGACACGTCGTGCTTTCACAGATGCAAGCTCATTAATCATTTCATTGTGATCAATGGCTTCACAAATTTTATTTTCAATTGAAATGACTGCCAAATCTGATAGCCTTTCTTGGCACATTGACGTTCTTAAATAATTTTTTATTAGCTTTAGCTTTGAAAAACTCCTTTCGCCAGATGCCACCGAAATTGAAAGGGTCAGGAATATTCTCAAGGCTATAAATAGATTTGGAAACAAGGATTGTAAATTTTTCTTTGTTATATAATTTAAAATATCTATGGGCGAATCCGAAATTTTGTCAGAGTCTGTGATTGGGTTAAAAACTTTGTATGACAGAATTTCATTATGCAAATCAAGACCATCAATATCTTTGCATACGTTTCCTGCATGTTGAATTTGTAAAGCTAAATCCAAATCCATACATGATCTTTTAATCACATCAGAATCTAGATTTTGAAAATTACCCAAAAATCCAAATAAATCGTGTAACTTATCTATTCCCCCAAAGCGTCTTTGTAGCGATTGAATTGTGTCCAAAATTTGAAAATAAAAACTGATCTTAAATTTTTGTTTTGGATCGAATACTGTTTCATCTGTACCTTCATACGAAAATTGAAGCTTCGTCTTTCTTTGTCTTAATAATGGAAATGTTTGCTCTACATCACTTTTTTCTGCTTCTGCTACAGCCTCATTCATGAAAATCTCGAAATGTTTGTCTAACCTTTTTTCAGTGAAATAAATAATAAGCTTTTTTATTTCTGTATGGCATTCATTTAAAGTTGTATTTGGATTCTGGACTATTTTACTTACTATATTAATTTTTGTTAACACATCATGCCAAATTATAATAGAAAAAATGAATTTGAACGTTTTAGTTTTGTCTAATAGTGACCTTGCTGAATGTTTCGTGTTCATATCTCTTGAATTATCTTCCACCAAATCATTTTTCCACATTTCGAGGAATTGAAACCTAAGAGGGCGAATGACTTTGACTCTGCTTTCTCATCGTGTTTCACTTACTGATTTTAATGTTAAGTTTGGTACATTCCTTTTTAAAATGTCCCATCTGTAGGGTGAAGTAGAAAAAAAATTGAACTCCTGAATAATTGAAAAAAAACCTGCAGTTTCACATGAAATTTTAGCTGCATCATTGACACTTAAATTAAAAGTGTGAGCTGAACAAGGCAAAAAAATTGCTCTGGGATTAATTTTTAGAATCTGAGCTTGAAGGCCCACATGCTTACCAGACATATTTGCCCCATTGTCGTAACCCTGACCTCTCATGTTATCAAGGTTTATTTCAAATTTTGATAATATTTCTTCTTTTAAAAAATTGAAAAGCCCTTCTCCTGTAGTATTTAAAACTTTGAAAAAACCCAGAAAGTGTTCTCTAATTTCGACTTCATATGGAGAACAATAAACGAAGCGAATTATGACCGTCAGCTGCTCAACA